CTTCCTCTCACATGAGGACCTGGCCCTGTGATTGAAGTTAGCTCTTTCTAAGGGACCCAACAGAGTAGGTGTCTTCCTTTCACATGAGGACCTGGCCCAGTGATTGAGGTTAGCTCTTTCTAAGGAATCAAACAGAGTAGGAATCTCCCATGTCACCCGAAGACGGAAACAGATCCAGTTTCCGAAACGTTGTGCTGTATAATTTTTAGAATATCTGATGATGGACAAAGTCCAAAAATCCAGCAATTCCAACTGTAAGGGCTTGTGTCGAGAGAAAGCATAGATATTTTCGTAACAGATCAAACTTTTCTTACACGAGGTTCAGGTGATAAATTACTCTGACATTCTTTCGTATGTTCAGTTCATGCTCCCATATCATTGTTCGAACGACAGTAATATTTTCCTCGGAGATCAGAATGCTAGAAACATGGTATGCATATTAAAGAAACTGAGAAAGAGATGCCTATTTGTGAACGTTCAATATGTTATATGGAGATATAGGACCGTATAGAATTATCTTCAAACAGACATTAATCTAAAAATGTATCCCTTGTTTTGGTGCTGCATGTGTGCATAACATAATGAATGACTTACAAGCATTTGTCTGTCGGAACTTCTTTACATCTATGTAAGATTTGAGGTTTTCACGGTGGTGACTATGAAGAAAGCAGTCTTCTTGGATGTGGCGCCGTGTAGAAATGGTGTTAACCGACGTTTCGGAGGAACATATCGCTTCCATCTTCAGGATAGAAGACAAGAAGAAATCCGCGAGCAAACCAGCAGAGCAGGTGCAACAGACACCTACGTTCCTCCGAAACGTCGGTTAACACAATTTCTACATTCTCATCCCAGAAGACGTCTTTCTTTACACCTGTTCCCTCCTTTCGTCTACCACATCCTGAATCATTTATCACATGTTCAGAATTCCTTCTCGTTATTTTCTAAAGATTCTATCACCAATATTTATTATTTTTCAGGTTATAAATGCATTTTGCTCCTTAGGGAATACAGAGCGTAGTTTCATGACTGAACCGAGGAAAATCACATAAAATTAGAAGAAAATTCCTTTCGTTCTGTTGTTAATGTTAAACTATCAATGTTTCAAACATTGTATCATTGTCTCTCTATTCCATAGCTACGGTCTAGTTTTTGTGGATCGCCCTCTCTGATGAGAGGACGGGTCTGTGTTTTGTACATGCTGCTGGCTCTCAGGGCAGTCTTTCTCTGGTCCGAGTCCCTTGGGACTAGCGACCATATTTTACTGCCTCGGATTTGAGACTTCCCTTTTCATCGCCTCCTACGACTCGCAAGATCACGGTGGAGGAATTCGACCCGCCTCCACACGGGTGGACTCAGTCCTTTCCTCGATTATTCTGGGAATCTCATTATATAGCCGCGACACGGACCACACAGACAACACAATTCTATTGTAAGAAACTTAGCCTAACCTAGCAACAGGTCACAGAGAACCCCGATCTACTGTTGCTCGGCGCGGATGACATAGAAAACACAGCGTCATGTATTGTTGCGTAACTTAGCAACGGACTGTTTACCAAGAATAGGTCTTGGTCGGAACTTGTTTAACAACACGTTGCCTAGTAATGGGTGTACATGTAACATTACGTCTGTATGTGTGCTTCAGTAATCACATGAACATTTAGCTCATCAGGTATCTACCCTCATCATTATGCATCCAAATTTGTATGTAACAACTTATACATTTCTTTGTCACCAACAGATAAACAATCACGTTTCCTAAGACCCATCCGTTACATTTTGGGTGCATTACCTTGAATTTAGAGTCAGGATGGCTCTGTCTGTATAGTGACAAGCTAAGGGCTCGACGGCCGATGTTCAATTTCTTGCAGGGATAAAATTTTTTCTCCTCCATAACGCCCTGACGTGCTCTGAGGCCAACAGAGCCTCGTACATTGGAGGCAAAGCGGCCGGGGCGTGAAGCTAGCTAATTATAGTGTCACCTAATGCCGAGTTCAAGAACTGTTTAGCTATACGTTCACTTCCTCCACGTCTTCATGGCGTGGTGCATCATTAATTAATCATAACAAACTCCGTGATTTTAGTCCGAAAGCGAACTATACCGACCGAGGGACCGCCGCTTGTCGGCGAAGTTTAGTGACAAATTTTGTGGATAGAGGGTGCCGCGTGGTCAGAGCAACGAATCCCCACGGCCGTTAATTTCGGCTTTCTAGACCGGAGCCGCTATTTCCTTGAAATAGCTCCTCAGTTATCATCACGAGGCTGAGTGGACTCCGTTCCAGACCCACTACTTCTCAGAAAAAATCTGGTAGTGCCGGGAATAGAACCCGGACCTCCGGATCTGTAGCCAGGAACGCTAACCACTAGACCACAGAGGAGGTTTTAGTTAATTAATTAATAAATGACAGGAACAAATTTACATTTACCTCACCCTGGGGTTCGTGTTCTGCACCATCGTTGAAATTCCCATAGAAGTTCTTATCCGTTTGTATATCTACAGAATAACGAAAGGTAAAATTATCACTTTGCTTAATCAGGCACCACGACAAGAAGATGTATGGGTGAATGGCGGTATAGCTTCACGTATTCTTAATCTCGGCGCTATGGAGATTATCTTCAGGCCCTAGCCCCTTTAACTATAGCAGAAATTTTCACGTATCCGTTGGCTAAGTGGTTGGATGGATTCCAAGGTCGGTCTGGATACTGTGGAGGAAAGAGAAATATCTGACTCTGTTATGAATCGAACTCCGGTTGCCCGGTTGTCCAGCCCGTAATTTAGTTACGGTCCTGTCCGAAGAGTACCGGAGGAAAGTGGCAGGGGTGTGAAGCTGGCCACTCAACTCCAACTAGTACCGAGGTCAAGAAAACATGGATCTATACACCCATTCCTCCATACGTCTTCACGGCGTAGTACTTAATCAGTTAAGCACAGGGACAAATTTACCTATCTTTATAGTGAAAATCTAGTTAGGCCAAATCCTGCCCTGATAAAATAAATACATTTCAGGAATATGGAATTAATTTCTGCAACGGAAAACAGAGTTATGGAATGACACACTCTCTTCTCCAAGTCGTCCAGACCGGCTCTGGGGTCCGCCAAATCTCTTATTCAATGGGGGCTCTTTCCCCGGGATTAAAACGGCCGGGGAGTGAAGTTGGCCACTCACGTCCAGCTAGTGCCGAGGTCAAGAAAATATGGATTTATACATCCACTCCCCCATACGCCTTCATGGCGTAGTACTTATTTGGGTAAGCACAGGGACAATTTTACCTTACTCATTTTCATCCCTTAAAGGGCCTTAACTATGCACGTAGATGATATTTATTCTCTCCGAGAAGTCATAATATACATACATACATATACATGCCCGTGTTTCCAAGTCTATTGACTTCTGAATCAGTTGGTTAAATCTGTTATGACCGAAAGTAATGTTACGTCATTAGAGGAGTCTATGGAGTGTTCATGAACACTGTCACTAATATTAGCTACTTGAAGAGAGCCCGAGATCTGTACTAACTGCAAATGCTATATGAAATTGTTTTTCTTTATTTTAAATTGCAAACATGGCAGGTGTGCGAAACTTTGAGGTTATGTGCGTACACTATGAAGGTTACTGCCGTGTGACCTCCTATAGTTTTGTAAATATTTACGAAAATTTAGAAAATAATTGCTATTTCATTCTACAGAATAGATAATAGAAGCAGCTGGTTCCTCCGAAACGTTTATAAATATGTATAAGACTACACAACGTCATTTCCCAGACGACAATAATGTTTACGGTTACGTCTTAAATTAAATGAAGTGGGATTCTGTACTGGCAGAAATTATTGTGAAAATTAGTTCTGTTATTTTTACTAGCATTATAAATATTTGTATTTCTTGCTAACGCCTGAAGTCAAATACCAAACGTTACAAGTTCTCAGTGCTTGCCAGAACTCATCCCTTACTCTCTAACACTCCAATGGCGACGTTATTTTGATTCAATACAAATATGCCATCGTGAGGGGTTTATATTTATTTTTGATCACACTCAATAAGCAACACGAATGAAGAGTAGATTTTGAGGAGGTTTGACGATGGTGTACAACACAGAATTACTGGGCTTTTGGACTTTTTTCCATCGTCCGGTAGTCTAGAGAATAGAAAACACGACGTTTCGGAAACTGGCTCTGTTTCCGTCCTCATGTGAATGGGGAAGAAACCTGAGATTAGCTCTTTGTGACTGGCCCAAATGAGTAGGTGTCTTCTACTCCATTCACCCCAGGACGGAAACAGATCCAGTTTCTGAAACGTCGTGTTTTCTTTTCTCTTGACTACCGGACGATGGAAATTCCAAAAAGCTAGTAATTCTATGCATTGAGAGTGTTTGAGAACAGAATGCTGTGAAGAATATTTGAACCCATGAGAGAGGAAGTACGTATAGCATGAGGCTGGAGGAAGAAGATTCACAATTTGTGCCCCTCGTCGAATATTACTAAGTTCATGAAATCGAGGATGATAGGAAGAACGGGGCATGTAACTCACATAATCGATGAAAAAATGTATACAAAAATCGACGAAAAATTGTATACAAAACATTAACATAAAAACCTAAAGGGAAGAGACCAGCTAGAGGATCTATGAGAATAATATTAAAATGTATTTGAATATATTAGGACGTGAGAATGTTGAATGAAACCACATGGATCAGAATATGGTCCAACTGCGAGATTTTATATTCATGGTAATGAAAATTTGGAGTTTAAACATGACAGGCATTTCTTGACCAACATATGACCATCAGTTTCCAAGCAAGGGTTCCGCATGGCAATGAGTTTATGATGAAAGTTCAGTTTCTACTAGCTCAGGTGTCGGGACACTTACCTGGTCCTACTGTGATCTCTTGCGAGTCGCCTTTTCTGCGTTCTTCATATTAGAGATGGCACTGACGGACCCAAAGAGGATTTTGGCGGTGACCTGAACACGCCTTTGTGTGGACGAACCGCCACTGGCTCCGGTGTACCCTGAAGTCAGACCCTGTCCCTGGCTAACGCCGCCACCCAAGCTTTGTCCCTGGGCGTAACAACAACCACCGCTGCTGTTATTGGCATCACTTGCCAGGCAAGACTTGCAGCCTTCTGGCATCTTACCAACACTTGAATAGAGATGACTAGTCGAAAGAAATGCAAGGCATAACGTTCGTATTTCTAGGAAGTGTTTAATGATCCATATGAAGTCTACATGTTCATTCACAGCTTCAAGATATTGAAGCTCTTCGCACCAACGTACACATTGATCTTGAGTATTGTTCGTATTGTCACGTGTAGGGGGTACGCGTGACGAAATGACGGCTATATACACCCTTTTTTTTTCCTGCAAAACTTTTGTACACGACGCCACCGAGAAAACTTAACTAATAATATTTCTTCAATTCTTTAAAATATTTCCTACAAAACAAACTTCAGGAACATTTTAAAGTGTCATAACAGAAATCATATTTTCAATTCTTGCTACTGTAGGGAGTTAACATTCTGATTTAAACTGAGCTACGTGTTATAAATTTTTAAGTCCAAGGGAATCTGAAAAATCTTGTGCAGTTCTTAAAACCCTAGAGCAGGAGCATTTATGTTTCTGAACAAACATTTGTGTGCCTACTTAAGAGACAGAACATTATTAACTTTCTAACAATAAGCGAGATCACCAAAAATCAACATCACAGCGTTATATGCTAATTTTTCTATTATCTTTCAAATCACAAAACCACATTCTTTCAATTATTATTATATTTCTTTTCGCTTCGATCCATTTCTATACCAAATTCAATGGCTCGTTCAGTTTCACGAACTAGAAAAACTCACACACGATTTAAATTTCAATATATTTTATAAACGCATTATAAGTTATATTCAGATTTAACAAATTTCAGATCTTCCACCTGCCTTCTGCACTGCGAATGTATCTTCGTATATAATCTTCTGTGTCTTCATGTTCAACACAGCTGCATGCAAGAACTGAAAGCCTTTACAATTGATATAAGCTCATATCATAGAGATACTCCTTCATGAATCGAAGAATCCAGTGATTGCAACACATTCCTTTCGGTTCCTTGGATACAGTCTAGATGAAAGATGTCCGAATCTGAACTGAAGGTGTGTCCGTCCCTTCGATAGATACAACCAGGGTTACTATGCATTGGTCAACACACTGTCTTCTACTTGAAAAGTTTCAAAACTGAGACACAAGTGGGGGGAGACCTTAAAGTTTGTCTGTCCCTCCGTACACCACAAAGACGTTAGGCTGCACTCTTCAAGAGAAAAGTATTTTAGTTTTTTTTTCTGCCTTAAGTTCTCTAGATAGGGATATTGGAAGTGGGCAGTGTTTATGTACGAGGGGGTGTGTGTCCTAGCCCCTCTCCTCCACTGGCGCTGTAAGTAAGCCAGTGGGTCATCACCTTTCTCTCTCTCACTGCCATGTTGATCCCCATAACTCGGTCACAGAAGTAGGGTAAAGCGGTGGACACAAATACAAGCCAAACTTAAAAAGGTGGAGTAGCAAAATGGAGGGGGTATCGAGGTGGGAGCAGGAGGGGTGTTTGAAATGCAGTTGTTTCTTTCTCTGGAGGGGAAGGAGTTACGATTCCTGTCAATGATTTAGCCAATCATGAGAGTAAAAAGAGGATTTACTGATGATCGCCATTCTGCAGCTGAGAGTTGCGGTAGCCAAAAGACTACTGTTGAAATGTCTCAGTGTCACGTCTGGCTCCCGTTAGATTTAAGCCTTTATGAGTGATGAGTCACTGTAAATAATTTTTATGGTAATTAAAAAAATATTTAACGGACAGATAATTTCAAGTTGGTTGGTTTTGTTTCCACATCCAAAATAAATATATTCGATACATTTTAATGAAACCTGACTTAAGTACACTGGTACACATTTGTATGGAGCACAAAGTTGAAGCACAACCACGCGTATCCTTGTTGTAGCTGTTTACTGCCAAATTCCTACATCCCTACATAGAAAAATATTGAATGTACTTCTTTCAGGAAGGCTAAGGTAAAGGTAGCAGGTCACGGTAGACGAGCGGTCTAAGGCATGCACTGTCTTTGCTCATTCGGAAGCCGGGATCATGGTTTCGAACCCCACACAGGGCATGGATGTTTGGTATGTGTTTATTCTGTGTTTGTGTTGTCCTGTGTTTAGGTAGAGGCTTTGCGACGAGCTGATCCCCTGTCCAAGGAGTTCTACCGTCTGTAAAATGATCATGAAACTGAAAATCAGAGTCCAGAGCCCAAGGAGCTGTAGAGCCAGTGAAAAGTAAAGGTAAATTGTACCTGTGATTCATTAATTAAGTACTACACCACGAAGGCGTATGGGGGGAGTGGCACTAGTTGGAGATGAGTGGTCAGTTTCGCGCCAGGGTCGCTTAACACCCGAGGAAAGAGCCCCCGGTTCCCATTGGATAGGAGATTTTGTGGGCCACGGAGTCGGTCTGGACGACGTGGAGAAAAAAATTCTTGACCCTACCGAGACTCGAACTCTGACCCCTCGATCGTCCATCCCATAGCCAGTCGCTATAGCAATTACGCTATCCCGGGTCCTAGACAGTAAAGTAGTCTTTATACAAATGCTGTGTTAAATATGAACCACGTTATTAAAAAACCAAGGATGTGATAATGTGCTGCGTGGTCAGGGCTTTCGCATAATTCAAGAGACGATGACAGATCAGTAGGAATAATTGGTGGAATGATGACTAGCAAGGAAAAACCAAAGAAATTCAGAGAGAAAACTGCATTGGAACAATTTTCCAATTCGAAGAAAGCAGTCTTCTCGATGTGGCGCAGATTGGTTGCAGTCTGTTGCACCTGTTCACGCTGGTTCGCTCGCGGATTTCTTCTTGTCTTCTACCCTGAAGATGGAAGTGATACGTTCTTCCGAAACGTCGGTTAACACAATATCCACACAGCGCCATATCACAGAAGACTGCTTTCTTCATAGCCACCGCCGTGAAAACCTCAAATCGTACAATTTTCCATCTTGTTTACTGCAAACATCACATGCAATCATTTGGAATTGAACCAGGGACTACGAAATTAGAGACCCCAGGTTCTAAATCGCCTGAGATATAGTACTACCAAATCGTATTGTCACTCGAGGAAACGCAGAGTTCACGTGATCCCCACTTCCCGTTGTGCCATTCACGTCACAATACATTTTGGTGACAATATTTATTACAATGATCTTGTCTTTATCAAATAGATTGCAAATTTTACATAAATGTAAGATCGTAAATGACGATCTTTTGTGTGCCTCGTTCCATTCTGTATTCAGAGAAGACCGCGTCTCCTGTTGAGGAATGCTGAAGGAACATTTACAAATTGGAAGATAATGGAGTTGACAAGCAACCTGGAAACAGAGGCACGAGTAGTGGTGTTGCTTGGATCATAAAGGACATAAGGGGCACGCGGTAGCGTAGTTGCTTGAAGCGCTATCCTACAAGGCGGAAGTTTCGATTGCCGATGAAGATAATTGTTTCAATTTACCTAATCCTTACAGCGACACTGTGGCTTTATGGTCGACTCAGCCTCTAACAGATATGAATATCAGAAATCTTCCTGGGGTTAAAGATGGCAACCTCACCACCAACTGTGAGCCGATTTTCTAGAGAAAATGTGGAAGCCTCGACGTCTCACAACCGTATGGGCCTCCACGTCCTGTTACAAGGATAGCTCTAGTTAACCTCACCACCATCTGTGAGCCGATTTTCAGAGAAAATGTGGGAGCCTCGACCTCTCGCAACCCCATGGGCCTCCACGGCCTGTTAAGGGATAGATTTACTTAACCTCACCGCCATCTGTGGGCCGATTGTCTAGACAAAGTATGGGAGCCTCGACGTCTCACACACCTATGGGCCTCCATGGCCTGCTTCAGGGATAACTTTAACTTTCTTTTACCTTGACCATAAAGAAGGTGAGAGACTTGGCAACAAAAGCCAATCTAAACGTGAGAGAAATGTAAAACAGATGCTGTATGGTACAGCAATATACGACATTTTTACTATTTGATGCACACTTCACTGTCGATTGGACGACATCCTGGATTCTCATGCAGGAGATCTTGAGAATTTGATCTAGAGATAAGTTTATACCAGCTGAGGTCTTTCGTGATTTACCTCATTCAGTACAGCATATGCTGGGATAGTACCTCAAATTCAGAGCCAATATAGTTTAGTCGGTATAGACTACGAGCTGGACGACCGAGAGGTCGGAGTTGAAGTCCCGGTATGGTCAAGAATTTTCACTTCTCCTTGTCGTCCAGATCGGCTCTGAGGTCCACCAAACTTCCTATTCAATGGGTAACTGCAGCCTGGGGGTGAAGCTGATCATCATCTCTAGCTAGCGCCGAGGTCAAGAAAATATGGATCTATACCTCCACTCTCCCACACGCCTTCATGGTGTAGTGCTTAATCATTTAAGCACAGGGACAACCTAGTATCTCAAAGTCAAATAGGTCCAATTCCCTGTACATTCATTCCTACAGATATTCGCTGATCATTCTACAATCCAAACTCTATAGACGGACAATGAACTCTACGTGAAATTAATCATAAAACACTTGTCTTCCTCTTTTTGATTAGATTTTTAAGCTTGTAAATTCTATTATTTCAGATAATTAAACGAGAATTGATGGAACCATAAATATTGTATATATTAGTGTAGTACCTGTTGAGATTGGAGAAAACTGCATAATAATTAGCTTCATAATTTGTATTTTTCTCCAAATATAATTAGAATGATCAAGTCCAGGAGGATGAAGTGGGCAGGGCATGTAGCACGAATGGGGATAGGAGAAATGCATATAGGATATTGGTGGGAAAGCCAGAAAGGAAGAAACCACTGGGAAGACCAAAGCGTAGGTGGATGTTCACAAGAGCCCCCCACTGGTCCCTATCCTGAGCCAGGTCAATCGAATCCATACCATACCCTCCTATCTAAGATCCGTTTTAATATTGTTCACCCATCTACATCTTGGTAGATGGTATGATATAATAAAATCATTTAACCCTATTTAACTGGACGTCAGTTCTTAGTCCTATCTCGCCCTTAGGGCAAAGGAATGGAACTGAAACTAAATAAAGTGCCTAAAGC